CTTTGAGGGTCAGATTATTTTCGGTTTTATTAACAACCTGCTTTAAGATTTTTCATAAAATAGATACATATGATAAAAAAGTTATATATCAAATTTGGCAGTGGTTGCTACACAGCAAGGGTATCAAATGAGGGTGTGGAGACATTCGATTATAAAATTTTACTATGTAAATTCATTTTACTATGATGCAGATCACCCAAATTTTACTATGTTTTACAACCTCCTATAGATCGGTGGGAAATGTCCTGTGACTGTTGGTACATCCAACAGGTAGATTGATAAATCAACCAAACAAACCACTAAATAAAATATTACCTTTCTTATCTTTCATTCAAACAAACATAATAACAACAAAATCACACTTATTAAAATTCAAATGTCATTCCATGTCTATCAGATACTGGAACTTGGACCTTTGCAACCCAATGAACAAGTTTTTGAAAACTTCACAGACAGTAGAACAGGTGCCCCAAGCACAACTGAAGATTTAAACACAATTCACCAAACATCCTCCAATGAAATCACTGCTCAACATCCAACACACCCAACTCCTTCTGGTGAAATTGTTCCACATCCAATCATTTCATGGGAACCCTCACAAAAATTTATGCAAGTCAAAGAAAAATTTGAATCCTACATTCTGCATCAATACCCTTGTGTACCGTGCTCTTTTTGCAGCAGGTTGCTTTATCCTGAGAAAGCAAAATGGACTCAAAAGATTGAAAATTTTGAATACCCATTAATTCAAGCAAACCTAAACTTAAGGCCCAAATCCACCAGAAAATCATATAGCAGTGTGTAGTTCATGTAAAAAAAATCTAAGAAGGAACTTCCCTCCTTATCTACACCCAATCCCTGTAGAAATCCAACAAATACCCCTTTTCAAGAGAAAATACTTGTCTCTGATCTATTTACACTCTTCTCTTGGACGGACATCAAACTTAGGTGCTTACTCTGAATATTGGTCAATTGTTGGAACATTTGGGTACTCAAAAAACATTCGATCATTGACATTGTATTCTGGAATGATTGGTGCTTTTTTGGAAGAGTACAATCCAAACAGCCAGGATCACTGTTGGTTTGATAGGTCTTTAATTGCAGGTGCAAATTGGTTAGCTGACAATAATCCATATTTGAGAGAATATAAAAATGCACTAGTGACAAATTCCTCAGGATCTGTATCTTCATTCCCCAATGCAACACACTTACCAGATGATGAAACTGCTCCAGAGTTTCAAAGTGGAGATATAATAGTGCCTCATCAAAACTTCCCTTCTGAGATACATAATGAAGATTCTCATTATTCAAGGCTAATAGCAGGCTTCATCAAAAATGATGGCAGTAATGATGATTCAAATTCATTACCAGTCTCTTTTGATTTTGATCATCTTGAAGCTTTGCTGTTCCCAGATCTATTTCCAGATGGCCATGGAGATTACAAAGAGATGAAGAGTTGTTCAAGGAATCAACAGCAGAGAATAGACACATATGGGAAGTACATCAAACAACATCTTTTGGGTGTTGATAGCAGGTTTTGTCTGCATCACCACTGGCCAGCATGGTCATATCTCCAACTTGAAAAACTTAGAAACTTCCAAAACAACCAGCGAATTGCCAATCAGAAAAATGTAGATGGGACTCACAGACTCCCAACAGCAGTGGAAATCATTGAGGAAAGTGCCTACATGGGTGGTTGGTGGTTCAGTGAAACAAACACATCAACCGTTCCATCATTTATTCAAACTGGTGATACTTATTTTAACCAGAAATTGATGCATCTCAACACTATGATCCGAAACTTAAACCTCCCAACCCTTTTCATCACTTTGTCAATGGCTGAAGGCCATTGGATTCACCTACGTCACATTCTAGGAGCATCTGACAATTTTGATACAGTTCCTTCAAACAGGCCCTTGCACACAACCCTGCATTTTATTCATCGTCATCAGAATTTGAAAAGGCTAATTTGGAAGGATCCAGATGTGAGTGGGTGGGGTACTTGCAAAGATTTCTTTGAATGTGTGGAATTTCAAAACAGGGGTGCAGCACACACACACAATGTGTATTGAACATCCAAGCCAATTCAAGAGATGATTTCTGAAAATGTTATTTGATCTGATGTCCCTGATCCAAATTTAGAGCCTGAATTGTATGAATGTGTTATGAGGTTGCAAATTCACTCATGCAACTCAAAATGTGATGGACCAGCCCCTTATGGTGAAAGATGCAAGAAGGTTTCCCTTAACCATTTTCTCCACATACTTATGCAGATCCAAACAACCTAAGATACACTTATTGTTGTGTGAATCCTCTTGACCAGTAGGTGGTTCCATACCATGCCTCAACCCTGCTCATGTGGAATGCACACATGAACATTCAATGAACTGATGAATTACATATTGTTTCTCCCAACAATAGAAACATAAGTTCCATAGAACCTAGTCAATGTGCATGAATGTATTCACGAAATAAGTCACCTTCTTTGACATTAAATAGATGGGAAGGTTCTGGCTTGGCAATGTATTTGTTGATATACTTGGCCAGGCCTCTTGATGTGATGTAAGTAAAGTACATTGTGACTGACCCCCATCAGTCAGGTCAAAGTGCATCCTTCCATTTTCTAGGATAAATCTTGATGATGATGAACTTTATTGGAAAGACTTGATTGAAAAATATTTAGCCTGACCAAATGGGGAACCCTTTGACAATATAACTTACAAGGATTACATTGAGCAATATGACATAAAACTATCAGCAATCAATTCAAGTAGCTGAACAATTTATAGAGACAACCTTGGAAACTATGTGGTGAAAAGGAAGACAAATATCTTGACAAGGTATAGAAATCTTTGGTTAGAGCATGGTGAATTGTATTTTTATCAAAAACTTTTGCTAAGAGTACCAGCAAGAAGTGAAGGAGATTTGATAGGAACCTATGAAACCTATCATGATCATTACCTTGCAAGGTTCCCTGAAGAATTTGGAAATTCAATAAAATCAGATCAGCAAAATCAACATCACCAAACCATCAACATGCTTGACCAATACACCAATCTCATTGAAAATCTCTTATACTCTTTACAATCACTTCTAACTCAAGATATTAAAGGCATAATCAGAAGTCAGCTTGAAAACACCAAAATTTTACCTCCAATTGTTCCAAACAACAGTATGTTGAGCTTACCTTCATGTCAATATAACTGTGTGCAGACAATTTTCAATTACATGGGACCCAGAGACACATATCATTATCCATATTTTTTCATTAGTGGATCAGCAGGCTATTCCTGATAAATCTATTCACAAAAAATTCTCAGAGTTGAATAAAAACTTCTTGCTGATGGCACCAACTGGGGTTGCTGCTGTCAATATTCAAGGACAAACCATTCATTCAGCTCTCCGGATATGGTCACATGGTGGAAGGTATCAAACATTAGCATTTGCTGATCAAGAATTCAACCAAGAACTTTGAAAAATTGACACTATTATCATTGATGAAGTCTCTATGGTTCAAGCTTCATTGTTGACCTTCATATCAGAGATGTTTTCTGGAATTCATCAAATATTTGCTCAAATTCCCCCAATAAATGGACATCCTGTATACCAATCTCCTATTTGGAAAGTTTTCCACCCAATTTTTCTTTGTCACTCTCATCGCCAACAAAATGATCCATTTTTCTATAATGTCTTGCAAAAGATAAGACTTGAAAACATAACACCATCTGTTTGGCGATTTTTACAAGAAAAAGCTAATCAAAGTCTTTCTTTAGAAATGTCTTCATTGCACACAAGCTATATTGTTGGTTCAGAAAGAGTACAAGTTATATTAACCAAATAATCTGCAATCACTTACCTGCATTGAACAACAAGTTTATGATATCTGAGGCGATTGACTGTGTAGATGGCAGGATGGTGGATAATAGTTATGAACATCTTATAAAAAATAAAACCAATCTCCCTGGATCACTTCGTTTGCAACTTGGTGCAAAGGTTATGTTTTTGAACAATTCACAAATTCACCATCAAATATGTAATGGAAGTTTTGGCATAATCACTGATGTTGACATAGAAAACAACAATGTGAGAGTTTCCTTCTCTGTATCTTCAGCAATTGTGGATATGGCAGTTTCAAAGCAAACATCCCATTTTTTAATCAATGGTGTCCCTGCAACCAGAACCCAATTTCCTTTACATAATGCCTTCACTTTGACTGTTCACAAGTGTCAAGGGTTGACATTGCCAGATGTGTCACTTTCCCTGGACTCTCAAATCTTCACTTCTGGCCAAGCCTATGTTTCCTTGAGCCATTGTTCAAAATGGGAAGATGTAAAAATTAATTCACTTTCTAGAGATGCTTTTAAAGTTGACCCATCAATGATCAAAGAGTATGAGTGTTTGAAAGAAATAATGACAAGGCCCTTACCTTATACAGTATATGGTGCTCATCAGTTTGCAAACAACAGCAGTTAAAAATATTATATTAATATTAAATAATATATATGGCAGTGGCGACAGAGTTGCCTGCAATAGCAATTTCTAGTTATGTAATTAATTACATTATTATTTTATTACATTATAATATTAATTACTTTTCTCTCAAAAAAAAAAACGGATCTAGTTATGCAACTAGTAAGGAAAAAAAAAAGAAAATCATTATATATTACATTATTACATTATTACATTATATTACATTATAATATTAATTACTTTTCTCTCAAAAAAAAAACGGATCTTGTTACGCAACTAGTAAGGAAAAAAAAAAGAAAATCATTATATATATTATTATTATATTACATTAACATTATAATATTAATTACTTTTCTCTCTCAAAAAAACGAATCTAGTTATGCAACTAACAAGGAAAAAAAAAAGAAAATCATTATATGTTATTATATAACATTATAATATTAATTACTTTTCTCTCTCAAAAAAAAACAGATTGAGTTACGCAACTAGTAAGGAAAAAAAAAAGAAAATCATTATATGGGGCATGCTGCAACAAAACCAGACAAAGTGAACATTGGTATTACTGAAGATTTCAGGGATTAAAATTTGTAATGTGATTATTAAAATCTCCATTTGTTTGTTATCTTAATATTCAGTGATATATAGAATTACTCCTATATAAAAATAGTTAATATGAAGCTAATTTATATTAGGTCTACCATGGAACCCAAGAATTATAGTACTATCAGAAGTATTTTGAAAAAAGAACAAGGTGAAAAAATTGCTCCTTATATTTTTAAAATAAATGACACTCAAACACTGGAAACTTATCTAAGAAAAGAAAGGATTACTTATGAAATTTACCTAAGAAGAAAGAAAAATAATAAACATTAGAAAAAGGAAGCAGAATGAAAGTGTACTATTACCTAACAAAAAGCAAAATCTTTGGAAGAAGTAAAATAAATGCAATGAATCTTATTATTGCATATTTATCTATTGTAAAATAGTAAATTATAAATCACGGGAAACTGATATATAAATCGGAGATGATTCACGAAATTACACGCAAATAAAATCGGAAAAACTGATCAAGTGATCAATTTATTCGAACACCAATAAAATAATTGACTCACGGAAATATTGGAAATATAAAAGTCTCAGAATAATATTTAAACGAAAGAATTTTACATGACTCATGTTGACTAGAAATTACTTGAAAATAATTCTA